AATAGGACAACTCATACATGACCGGTGGTCTGTAAACTGCTACTGTCGTCATTTCCACCAATAGAGTACAAATTAAATCCAATACCCAAGTGGGGCAAAAGGCAGGGGCAGCGCTGGAGGAACAGCCCAAGGTCAAATGGTCTCAGAAGAAAGGACAAAGGCCTCACTCAACCCGGGGCTGGGGCTTAGCTCATCCAGCTGCTGTCACTTTCTTAAACTCTCTGATTTCTGAGTCAACAACAAACACACAGTCTGCATAATGACAGAAAGCCAAGGGCCAGTGTCTTACTCCATGGATCAGCAATTGTTAAACTGTCCCGTGGTTCTGAGTTTGCAGTTATAGCCCAGCCTCGCCTGCAGCCTCAGCTGGCAGCCCTTGTCAGGTCTGGCTTGCAGATGTGTTTTATTTGGCCCACACACTGTTTCAGGGAAAAAAAAAAAGCAATCAATCAACACTTAACACTTGGGTTTGCCATGCTAAAAATCGGAATTTCCAGGTTCGGCCCAGAGACCAGAAGATCTGACAAACTTCAGGTTCACACTTAGCGTGGCCACATCCACCGAGACCCAAGGAGTGGGCATCTCCTTTAAGGACACACCTGCTGTCCAGAATGCTGGGTGATGCCTGATGGCTTCTGTGTTTTCTCACACCGTTCTCACCTCCCTGACTTGTCCAGCCTTACGGACTTGAGAATCTTTGGACTCCTTATCTAAAACAGTGGTTTACTGTGTCTCAACTAGGAACTCTATTCTCTTTAAGCTGGATAAGGTGGTCCCACCACTAATGTTGATCATTGACACGGTTTTACAAATTCACACAGCCGTGCACAAGGGCGCTCACCTGCTTACACTAAGCAAAGCTAAGTCTTGGGAGTCTTTTGACTTTTCCTCCAGAATTGTTTTTCGACGTCTTAAGCTTGTCTATACTGGAATCTGGCCTCGGTGTCAGGTTCAGGTCACACTTCCATCTTTGTTTTTTTCTTTTACATGGAAAGCATCTCTATTTCATAGTTCTTCTCCAGGTGTTTTGCCACCTGAATGCTTCTGAGATGCGCTTGGCCAAGCGTTCTGGTTCAAAAGAATCAGAACTCTCCTAGGCCCTGAGGGAGATGACTTTGACAGTTCCTCCTCTTTGTCTTCCCTTGATGAACTTGTGAGATGGTAAAGAGACACATAGGAAGAACCTGCCTCTTCCATTAAAACAAAACAACAAAACAACAACAAAAGGCAATAAAACAGTAGACAGGGAAGGTATCTGCCCCAGTAGCAAAACCAGGTACTTTCAGAATTTCATTTACTTGAGGACAGAGTGTTTTCTCAAATATTCCATAGTGATTATCTGGAAAAATCTCAAGACATTTTTTTTAACACAAGTTGTCTTTAGTCAATAAATACCAGAACTGAAATGTCCTGGGGGTGGAGATTTATGATCGAAGCACAACAAACACACCCATAAATCAGGCCGAGAGCGCTCTCTCTGCAGCTCTCAGCAGAGGCCGCGAGTGAGCGGAGCGTGTGGGGTCCTGGCAGGGCCGCACTCCCCTCAATGTGCGGGGGTGGAAGGGGCTGGCTTTCAAGGGCCCCATTTGTTCAGCCACAAAGGCATAGATACTTTTGACTTTCCTAGCTGAACCTTTCTATCTCCAATCAACATTCACTGGGAATCTACCCGTTTCCATCGCTGACAAACCTCAACGAGAGGCATGTGGGAAAGAACCTGGGGACGGGGTCTGAATCCCAGCCGGACCACTTGGCCATGTGAGGACATCTCATCAATGCTCTGGCATTTCATATCCTTATCTGAAACTTGAGGATAATAATACCTACTGGATAGGGCTGTTATTGGGATTAAGTGCAGTCATTTATGTGAAATGCTTAGCACAGTGCCTTGCAAATGAAAACACTTGATACAGTTTCATTTTTATGGCCGATATGTACAAGGTTGTTGGGGAGGAAAAATTTCTCCTCTACTCTTATAGGTTCTTCTGGCAGATCAGAGAATTAAATCGACATGAGACAGATTAACAGGAGAAACCCAATTTAATTACATATATACAGGAGCTTCCATAAGAATATGGGCAATCGGGGCTTATATGTCATCCTGAATTAAGAAGAATGGGTAAGAGCCTGGGATCTCAAAGGGGAGAAAGGCAATTCACACGGGAATGGAAAAAACAAATCCTTGGTAAACAAGTGTTTGCCATGTCACCAGAGTCAAAGGGACACGGAGAGGTCTCCAGTCTCTAAGCCCCGTGAGTTCCCCTTGCCACATCTGGCCTATATTCTTCGTAGTCATCTTTGTGTCCTTCCTGGACCTGATTCTTTACCTAAAATTTTGTAGGCTGTTCAAGTTGAGGTAAAAAGCCCTTCCTGAGCCCTTTATTTCTTAAAAATAATCCACCTAAAATAATCTTTATGCTAAGGAGACATGTTTTTGGGTGGCAAACCCTTGCTCTACTACAAGGTGCATGGCACAGTGCATGGCACATTCCAGAAAGTGCCCTTAGACTAGTGGTTCTCAGCCTTCCTAATGCCATGACCCTTTAATACAGTTCCTCATGTTGTGGTGACCCCCAACCATAATATTATTTTCTTTGCTACTTCATAACTGTAATTTTGCTACTGTTATGAATTATAATGTAAATATCTGATATGCAGGATATATTTTCATTGTTACAAATTGAACATAATTAAAGCATAGTGATTAATCACAAAAACAATATCTAATTATATATGTGTTTTCCAATGGTCTTAGGCAACACCTGTGAAAGGGTCATTCAACCCCCAAAGGGGTCGCGACCCACAGGTTGAGAACCGCTGCCTTAAACCTTCCAGAGGTGCTACATTAGGGAACAACACAGGTGATGCTCCAGAATAAATAATACCTTCCCCCAGATGTCAGGCCCCATTAAAGCCCCCATTTTATCTAAAACCACTCTTGTCTGTCATCCAATGGGAGGCAGGCAACCCTTCACAGGAACCATCTCCCATGGAGCAGTGAGAGGAACTTAAAATGGATAAGTCACATCATGTGACTCTCCAGCTTACAAGCTTCTGTGTCTCCTCAGAGGTCTCAGCATAAAATCCAGGGTCCTTAAATGGCTTCTAAGGTCCTTCCTACTCAGGCTCCTGCCTGCATCCTCAACATTTCCAGCTTCTCTTTTTCCCTGTCCGTACTAGATGTGTTGAATTTCTTTCTGGTCCTCTACCTTGCTGTGATGTACTGGCCTTCATGCCTTTGTTCCAGCTGTTTTCTCCCACCTGTTCCCAGATCGTGTGTCAGCTCAGGTCTCAGCTGACACATGACCTTCTCAGGGCTGCATCCTGGGCACCTGCTCTTTTTTTTTTTTTAATATATTTTATTGATTTTTTACAGAGAGGAAGGGAGAGAGATAGAGAGCTAGAAACATCGATGACAGAGACATCGATCAGCTGCCTCCTGCACATCTCCTACTGGGGATGTGCCCGCAACCCAGGTACATGCCCTTGACCGGAATCGAACCTGGTACCTTTCAGTCCGCAAGCCGACGTTCTATCCACTGAGCCAAACCGGTTTCCGCATGGGCACCTGCTCTTGATCTACCTTTCTATTCCTGCTTCTGGACACTCACAGTTGCCTAATAGGTTCCAGGATCCAATGGAGCCCTGAGTTGAGATTTTTTCTTTCTTCTTTTCTTTCTTCTTTTTATTTTTATATTATAGTTTT